AGGATAGAAATTAACTTCTTTGGCAAGCCCTATTTGTTAAAAACTAGAGGTAATCTAAACTGTAATCACGTCTCATTTTCATTTTGTTTTCTGCAATTTATTTTATTTTATTTTTTTTTCATTTTAGTGTTTCCGTTTGTATTTTTAAATTTTTTTTTTTTTTTTTGAGAATAGTTAGGTAAGCTCTCTCTGCCTTTGAGTGGTTTAGCTATAACTGATTTAATTTTTGGTAAAGTATCATACGTGTATTATTCATTTAATAAGATGAGAGATGTTAGTAAAGGGCAAAGACCAAAGTTGTTGATTTTAGTATTGGGAATGAGAAATGTGCGAAGAGTAAGCAAATTGTAGAAGTTGCGCATAGACACAGACATAAATTACCTGAAGGTTAAGTACATTGTTGTCTGCAATGCAAAAATATGTGCAGCATTAGTTTATCTACATTCTTGTTCTGGTTAGATAAAATAAATCCATAACTGTATTTGTATATGTATATATATATATATATATATATATAAAGCTATTTTCTCCGGAAATTCATGTTACTTTCCTGTTTCGAATTTCTCTTCTGAATGATATTCCCTTCTATAGATGGATCTGTTTGATGTGCATGGTGAAGCCATTGCTTGATCGAAGAAAAAAATAATAAGTTCTAGTGAATTGGATAGGTGGGTGTATGTGCGAAGAACAACTTTTTTCATTTACTTTACTTTGTTGAAGATGTCTTTTATTTCACTTGTTCTTTTTTTCTAATATTGAATGATATGCCTTTTTTTTTATGAAACAGAACGACCACAGTTAAGAATGAAGATAAATTAGAGTTCTGCAAAACCTTGGAGGCAAATAAGCCAACTTCAACGGAACTTCAATGGATATATGGGAGAAATAGGGGGTGTCATATCATGGATCAAACTTCCAAGCAAAAACGAAGGCCAAGAAGAATTTGTAAAAGTGTTATTAATTTTTTTTTAATGCAACTGGAAGAAATAATTTATAATTTACCTCTTAGTAGTTTCATTACCTTTGAATGTACAAAATGATGTTCAATATAAAATTTTATATTCAATTATAAGTTTCGATATTAAAGCATGCATTACTTTTTCTGTTGTCAATTCTCTTTTTATTTTATTTGACATAAAAATTCCTTTTATTTTTATTTGGTTTCTTCATTTAGCATTCAAAAGGCAATAATAATAATAATAATAATAATAATAATAATAATAATAATAATAATAACTGCTATCATTACAATAAAAAAAATAAAATATTATGCCAATATCATCATAACTATCTTATAAAGACACTTAAAATTATCTTAATTGTTTAAGACCTATTGTCACATTGGAATATAAGACACTTTAGAGTGTCTTAATAGTCAACGTGTCTCAATTATGTAGAATAGACAACATTTTGAAGTGTCTCAATACGGGAGGATTTTCTAGTAGTGGGATGAACCCATCCTTTTTAATTCCTCTTCTCGATATCTTTTCTCTTCCCTCGCGTAACTCTCTATTTCCACTTGTTGCGAAGACATTGGTTCAAGACTAAAATTCAATCCATTGAACTCAAAATAATACTTATTAGTATACCCGTCATGGTAAGTATGCCTATCATATTGCCATGGTCTACCAAGCTTAATATCGGCCACCTGCATTGGAGTGACAATACATATCACTTCCTCCGCATAACTTCCAAATGAAAACTTCACTTTCGCTTTTTTATCCATCTTAACTTCTTCGTTAAACCATCGCATTTTGATCGGCTTAAGAAGATTCTTTGTTGGCAATCCCAATTTCTCTACGAAATCTGCGCTTATCGTGTTGAGAAAACTTCCACCATCAATTATCAAGAGGGCTACCACGTCTTTGACCAAACAACGAGTTACAAACAGATTGGTACGTTGATTCTCAACATCTTCCTTCCCCACCTTGTTATCATCACCATCCGCCACTGGAGGCATCAATGCAATTTGATCACTGCTGAAGCTCTCCCTCTCTATTTGCTTTCTCATCTCTGAATTTTCTCCTCTTAATGCTTGTAATTTCTGTTGAGGAGACATAGGTAAGAGAGTGAAAGTCACTCCGTTGTAGGTAAAATGATATGTGTTGGTAAATCCGTCATGAATAACACGTCTATCGTATTGCCATGGCCGTCCAAGCATAATAGTTCCATTCATGATGTCCGATATTGGCTCCACAAAACAAATCACTTCATCCACATAATCGCCAATCGAAAAGGTTACATGTACTTGCCTATCCACTATGATGCTGAAGGAGTCATTAATCCATCCTATTACTTGTGGCTCGGCTAGTTTAGTCGTAGGCATCATCAATTTAGCTACAAGGTCTTCGGTTATGGTGTTAGTGCCGGAACCGCCATCGATCATCAACAAGGCTTTCTCGTTCTGCACTAAACAACCGGTAAAGAAGACATTGTGGCGTTGATCCCTCGGATCTTCACCCTCCTCCACCTTTTTATCATCAGCCATTGTACGTAGTAGCTAGTATAGTAGTTGTCGTAGTAATCTTGCAGAAACAAGCGAAATATCACAAAGGTCGGGTCACAGGGTGTTTATATAGAGAAAGTAGGCTCAAAAATTAGTAATTTAGAGTTACTTTTGGAAACAGGAAATCTAAGACCCAAATTTGCATATGAATCGGATTCAAGATGATTAAAGAATTACTAGTGTATCCAACTTTTTTTTTTTCTTTTTCTTTAACTTTTATCTTTTACCTGGAACATACTAGTAGAACCTCTGTGATGCCCTCCAAAGCAAGGAAAGCGGAATTCACAATCTTTTCTAGGACAGTAATAGTAATATTTAGCGTGCACCTTAATTTATCCTTACTACGTGTGTGTATATATATATAGGGATGATTGTGGCCATTTACGTGGATAAACCACATGCGCACTAACAAGAATATTTAGACTGGCATATATTTTCCGTGTTTGTACAATATATAAGGTAATCATTTTCAAACAGAAAGAGTATCAATAAGACTTCAAATGAGTTCAATTAACTTCCATTAAGTATGATGGGAAAAAACCACTCATTTGGTTGGCTTTCCTTGGTTTCTAGTTTTAGGAAATCCTCACCTAGCAATTCTTTTCTTTTCTTTTTTCGTTACAATAAAAGAGGCTCATGCCTTACATTAAATAGCAATTCTTAACAAAATAAAAAGGCACTCTTTTAATTTCAGTCTCTTTCTTTCTTGTGTGGGATTTGCACAATGCACATGCATATGCGCGCATCCTGTCGAAATGGATTTATACAAAGAAGGTTCCAGATCATTCGTCTCAGTGTACTTATTACAATTGCTAGATATCCTCTTCCAACTCCTAGTATTTAAATGTAAATTCAATATCACGAATCAGCTAATTAAGAATTCTCTTCCAGCTAGCTTTTAAGCTAGGACTCTCCTCAGACAATCACTTGAACTCTCGATTTTGACATTTTCAATTCACATGGCTGTTTAGAGTCTTTAGACATTGATGATTGACGATTTGAACTGATTGCAATATTGGCCCAAAATTCCCATTTCAAAAATGCAGGAAGTAGGCCACAAATCTGACATATGGGAAGGATTCGTAGAGATCAACGAAACAGACCAGATTTGAGAGACCCACATATATATATATATATATATATATATATATATATATATATAGTGGAAACCTTGATGCATTCTTCGCTCTATACTTTATTCCATGACTACATACATATTACAAGGCCACATTTTGGACTAATGGTGCTTATCAAAATAAATTGAACGTGTGGATCGCATGAGACTTACTTTGTTGTTTCACCTCATTTTCACAAATATCTAGTTGCCAAGGGGATGGAGAACCTGTAATAACTTGCAACTGCCAAGCAACCTACTGCTTTACCTGTCCAAAATCATGCATTTTTTCTCCATCCAGTTTAGCCAACATTGTAACAAAGTTTCATGGGCACTTGCTCTCTTTCGAGGCTTCTATGTGATTACTGATTAGCACCAACTAGCAATGCGTGAGAAACGCATAATAATCATTCCAAACTGTTTAGTAACTAGATAAGTATCTTCCAAGGAAATTTAGAGCACAAAGTATTTTTGCTGAACTATAACCAAAGAAAGAGATTCTCCAAAAAACAACAAGTTATCACAGCCCATGTATCACAGAAAATCATTGCAGAACGTGTTCAAAACCAGCAATCATCAAAACCAGTCGGACTCCCTTCTTCTTCTGGCTTCACTTCATATAGCTCACGGATCCTAGAGATCTGACGACGTTTGTAACGATCATTAGGAAGAACTTCAGGGCATGCAGGCCCCAAAAGGAGGCAGAGGGACAGAGGGCCCAACTCTACAAACAGAGGAAAGAAAAACCAAAAATCACAATAAGGACCATTTGATAAAACAGTTTACAACACAACAAACAAAGCATTGAAACGGCGCAAATCGGTAGCGTTAGGCATCATGAGGAAGTTTATTATATCGACTTGCACAGGGGAAATGACTAAAGGCAACCCTACAAGTAGCCAGAAAACTTGCAAAAGAACAAGCCAGTGTAAAGGCTACAACAATAGGGGGAAAAAGTATTGGAGACATAAAAAGACCTACTACACAACCAACTAGACATATACAATCCTTCAAATGTAGTGGAATTACTCATAAGAAACCAGAGACGACTAGAATATGGTTATCCTTATGCCAATCAAAATCAATATACACAGAATTAGTACTACCAAAAAACAATACCTATCCACCTCATATTTTTGGGTTACTAACTGGTGTAACCATTACACCTAAAGAAATACATAAATCAAATTAAACTTGTCATAACTGGCTGCAAGTTAACTATCCAAGAGAAGAATTCGGCAGCACCGGAAAAGGACAGTTAATGCAATTCAGATTCATACAACTCGCCCACCTCATTTAGGGTATATAAGCATAGTATATGAGGATAAAAAAGGATAAAAAGCCAGAGTATCTAGACAAGGAGATCTTAAGCAATACATTTCAAGGGATGAAATAATCTGTTTCAAGGGATGAGTAAACCATACATTCAAAGATCTTAAGCACAGCTGGAAAGGCTAGAAAGACAGTAATGAAGTTAGAATCGTACTTGATCACTCCTCCTCCAGCTTTTTGTTCAATCTTCACTCCAACTCCTTTTCCAGAATTCCCATCGCCAAATTCACCAAGTTCAGATCTGAGAAAAAAAAAAATCTAAGGTCAGAATTAATCAAAAAATTTGAAAAAAAGAAACACAAAGTAAAAGAGATTTGAAAGCAGAAAAACAAAAGTACAAGAGCGTGATACGACACCAACGGCAGTTGAAAAAACAATAATGATGAGCAAGACACCAACAGCAGTTGAAAGGGAAGAAGGAAAACAGAAGATCGATAGACCAAAAATTTCACATAATAAAAACTCACGAAAATCAACAAAAAAAAAAATCACCGATAACTTAATTTCTAAAAGGGAAAGCAAAATCAATCCTACTTTTTCCCTTCTTGATCTTGTTCTGAGGTCAATTTTCCTTCCACAGACTTTGCTGCTTCCTCTCCTACCTCAGATTTCACCAGAACTGTCTCTCCACCAACAAAACTGAAATAAGATCAACACAGGAAATCAAGGGAGAGGTGAGAAATAATCTCAGAGTGGCTGAATCCACGAGAAATCAATTTTAAGATTAAAGAAAAGATAAATAAAGTAAAGGTAAAACACATACTTCTTGGATGACTCCATGATTTAGAGAGAGAGAGAAATTCTTCAAAACTTTCAGTGAAATTTCTGTTCAAAAGAAAGCTGAGAAATGGAGGAGAAGAATGTGAGCTGTGAAGTTATAGCTCCATATATAGACGCACTTGAAAATTTTGGCGGAAAATTTTGCTTTTTTGAAAAAGATTTGAAAACCGATTTCTGGAAAGTCGGCAAACTTAGCAGATTATAGTGTTGGGCTCCAAAAACAAAGAAAGGCCCAGCCCAATCACTACCTCAACCAGGTACAAGTAAATTTCCACCACAGGTAAAACTCATCGAAATTGTTAATAAAAGTAAATTTCCACCCCAGGTAAACGTGTGTTACTACGGCATCAGGGGGATTGAGATTATGGTGAAAAAAAAAGATATCTTCCATTCACAAACCCACAAACACAAAGAAACGACAAAAATGGATTTTGTTTTTCAAAACGGAAATATAATAAATAACTAGAAAAGGGTAGTATTTTAGACTGAAGACAGTTTTTGCCCCTCCCTGCCGAGATCCACGTCGTCACTGCCGCAAAACAAACAATCAACGACAAGGAAAAGGTAGGTGGTAAGGAGGCGCAGGGGGAGGATATGTGAGAATAACACAAGCTCACTCTAGAGAACGAATGAGTAGTACTGGGTTGTATATATTTTGTGGAAGTCGGAGTTTTTTTTTTTATTTTTTTTTTTATACATACGTATATATGGTATCCAGCAGCAGTCGGAGTCTTTACTAGTTGAAGTTTTGAAACGTTAATGGGCCAAAAACATTTACTCGTAGGCCGCAGAAGTTAAAAAGAAAGAGTTGGGTCTGGTCTGTTTATATTTCAAGTTTATTATTAATGGATAAATTCATGATTCCAAAATGATTATAATTATTTAAATTGTATTAAAAAAATAAAAATTCAAAAATAAAAATTCAAATCAGATAATTATTTTAAGACAAAGAGAATAGAAAACATACATTATAATCCTGATGATTTTAAATGTTGTTTTTCAAAAAAGAAAAAAATATATGTACGTTCCATGAAAAGAACTCGTCAACATAGATTGACACGATGAATCTGTCATTAACTATGATGAAAAAAAAAAAAAACCCCAGTCATTTGGTCGGCCCGTCTCGTTATTTCCTTGGTTTCTAATTTTAGGAAACCCTCACCTAGTTTTAGATTAGTATATCTGATTCTGAGTCATTCTCATTGGCAAACATATGGTTTTAGCTTAGCTTTTTGGCCCAAAAATGAAATTGCTAAAACTTGATATTTAGCTCCCAAATGAAGGTCACATTCTCCAAAATCCAAATATTAGTAACTCGATCACAAACTACTAAAGGTCTACATCGAGAAAAGGTCCAGAAACAGAGGAGGATCATTACAACAGCAAAGCCCACTCAGACTGAAGAAGCTTCAAAAGCAAAAAAGTTAACGTAATACTATTAAGCTGCCTTTTGTTAGACTAGAACCCCAATGTAAGAACAGTGAACTCATGGCACTCCGACAATGTTATCAGAGCTTTCAGCTGCAGCGTGATAGTTCTCAATAGTTTGCTTCATGTCATCTAGCTGTCCCAGGACATACTCAACCTTCTTGCAGGCAATCTCATTTGATATTCTTGGAACATAGTCACATTTCTCAAACGGACGATACTCACATGCCCTTCGAATCTCATCCCGCAGTGTCACCTGGATATCCTGCTTTGTAAGGGCGAGTGAAAAGACACATTGTTAGATAAATGTTTCACTTGGGGTTAGCTAAATATAGTAGCCAGAACTTGTGAGTTAACCATGCCTCCTAGAGATGTATTCTAAAATGAAGATTCAGGAGAATTACATTAGTCCTAACCATAGCAGAGATATGAATATAGACAATACTTAAATTACTATAGTTAACAAAGCATTTCAACTTTATGTAAAAAGAAGAATCAGAATCAGTCATCAACTGTTGCATGGTTCAATTGCTCCAAGTAGCAAGCAGATCCCCACAATGTACAACTAAAAACAATTAATACACAGAACGAAAACAACGTGTTTCTTTCAGGTAAACAAATATCCACTCAAACAAAAGGGAAGCACGGTACAAAATTAAGCTGTCTACAAGAATTCCTCAGCTCAAGAGTGATAAAGCATGAGAACAACAAGAACCATAAAGCCACAACATATGCATGAATTTGGGAAACAAGTAACACTAAGACTCCAGAAACCAGACCCACGCAACAAAGTCAAATCCATTTAATACATAGTGAAACAGAGATGGATGACCACATAAAACAACTCCATTAACTGCAAAGAGGGCCCATAACACAAACTAAATACACTGATAGACAGGACTACCCAAGCAGGGATATAAAATAAACAGTCCAAAATTCCCAAAGTTAATAGAACAAATAAGACATTTCTCCTTTCCTTTATGTTAAAGAAGAATCAGAATCATTTGTAAACTGCATGGTCGATTTGTAGCAAGCAGATCCCCACAATGTACAAATAGAACAATTAATAAACTATTAAAGCCTAGATGCAGAACAAAAATGATGACCTTCTTTTTCAGATTATTAAATCAAATAAATGGGAAACACGGTACGGTACCAAATTAGTATTCTACATGGATCAAATGTGATGAAACATTGGAACAGAAACAACGATTACGCTATAAAATATGAATGAACTTGGGGAACCAAAAGAAGTAAGGGCCTTCAGAAACCAGGTCCACACAAGAAAGGATTACACGGAGCAACAAAATCTGAAGTCCCAGAACACCTTTTAATACATAGTAAAACATAGATGCCATGACCACATAAAACAACTCCTCTTTAACTCCGTTAACTGCATAATAAAGGGTTCATAGCACGAACAGAATACAATGACAGACAGGGTTAACTGTAAGTGATACGAAACAAATACTCAAAGGAACGATACATTCACAGTAATCAACTGGAATATGACCTAGAACTCCCGCAACCAGAAATTTAACTAGGGCACGAAAAATAAGAAGATTCTGACCTTCATTAATGCCATGAACTCAGGGCAGTATTGGTCGTAAACATTTGAAATGTTTGAACTGTCAGGCTTTCCTAGTTCCTCCATAACCGATCCAGCTAAGTCCATAGCCCTAATAATTTTCTATCATCAACCAGCAAAACAAAATCAGCATAGAAAATAACTCCACATGTATATATATGTAATGTAGACACTAAATTTGTTGCATTATAGTTACCTTTTCAACTTCTTCAAGGCGTTGAATTGTCGGATTTTGTGATTGCGGATCCATGGCGTGTTGGGATTATGAATCCAGGCGTTTTTTTGCGTTACTGCGTTTCCGCGAAGATGAAGAACAATTGTATTTTATATAGAGATTAAAAAAAAATTAATAATAATAAAAGAAAAACAAGAATTTTATATTGGGATAATCCAGCTCCGTTTATTGAAGAGCCCCTTAAGTTGTCATCGGGGCCCAAAAATTCCTATACCTATTACCAGTAAATGGGCAAGTGGGGAAATGACCAATTAAGTAATTGAGGGAAATGACTTCTCGACTGGTGAAAACTCAAAATTTGCGTTCGAAAATTCAAAATAAACAAAAACGAATATTCTGAATATATTTTTTTGGGCGAACTACATCTTGCCTCTTGAGTTTTTGTCTAATTTACCATAAATTCCCTAAATCTTAGTAGCAAAATATTTATTTTTTATTACGTAACTATTTTATACTTAATAATAATAGTAGACCCGTATGGTGAATATGTATTTATCATGTGCTTTATTTGTATTTTAATTTTTTTTATCAAATAAATACCAATATATATAAAAAATAATTTATACAATTTTTAATTTTAAAATAAACATAAAGATTAATAAAATGAAACAAAGATAAATATATATATTATAAACATAAAAGTAATAATTAAGAAGAGAAAAACAAACTGTCTCAAGAATTCAGTTCGGTAATATGTGATAAAGCTATGACTTATTTTTATACTTAAATTTGTACTTGCACTTCACATTCATTTAATTTATTAAGACGTCTTACTTTTAGTTATCAAACACACTTAAAAAAGTCCTTACTGACTTATATTTTTATAAGATCATGTTATCAAATAATAACAATCAATTAAGCACTTATTCGGTTAAGTGTAAGTGTTGAATGAGTTTATCAAATAAGGCATGGATGAAGGATTTACGGGGAAAAAAAAAAAGTTGACCCGGGTTGACTTTCAAGTCTAGTTTGTACATATTGTAACATATTAGTATATGATTAAATTGCTGATAGTTGTAAACATATATCGGAGTTAATGACCAAATTTTTGTAAGTAATAAGACAAATTACTATTAATACTCTCTAACCCTAGCTATAAAGTTCTTCGTTCATTTTTAATTTTTTCTTTCGATTTCATCAGCCAATGTTGATACCTCAACAATTGTTGACCAAGAGAAAGAAAGTCTAGGTCTCTTCAATTACAGAAAAGAAACACCAATTCTTTCAATCATATATTTTAATTAGGTCTATTTGTAAAATAGTCTCTTTCTTTTCTCCTTGATTAATGATCGGGCTTAAGACCTGTCAAACTTCTCAGCTAAAAGCAAAAGATGAAATCAAACCTTAGAGCCTCCTTATCGACGTTTTAACTCCAAAATCAGAAAAATAATACGAAACAAAATTATAAAATTAATGCTCTCAAGGTATATGTATGAAGGAAAATAGTGCATAATCATCCATTTTTTACCACTTAAAAGCAGTTATCACTCAAGACACGTGACAACTCCTTATAAAATATTTTTCCTCCCAAACTATTTAGCTTTATATTAGGTCAATTAATACGTAAATATAAAAAAATAAAATAAAACCAAAAATAGAAATATCTCTTAATCTTTTCATTTCCTAAATTTTTCCTGCTAATTAAAGATTCCGTAAATCAATCCATAATTAATTATTATAATGTGAAGCCGGTTGGGCGCCCGAACTGAAAATCTAGTTTATCTTTATCTATATATATATATATATATATATATATATATATATATTTATTGAGGAAGCCGTAGCTTAGTGTACAAAAAGTAACTCTTCAATGGAGAGTTGGACTAGGGAAATCTAGTTTTTTTTTTTTTTAGTTTATCTTAAAACTAAAAATTATAGAAACTCTAATCATGACAATGAAACCACGTGTAACTATAGTTGGCCCATTTATTTCATCCAGACAGTTACGGCCCATTATCTATTCCCAATTTACGAAGCATCGATCCTTCCGCTTCTATAAAGCACAACTTTTTTGTGCAATTTGGAGCAGAACCTACGCAAGAAGTCGGGGAGAAGGTAATTCTCATCTCTGGTTAAGATCTCTTGTTTCTTCATCGAAATAGGTTTCTTTTTCATCTTTGGTTACCGATTTGTTGCTGATTTTTATAGTTTAGTTAGCCGAGGGATTTAATGGATATTCGAAACAATTAGGACAAGAATCCACATGCGTCAATTGAACCAAATTCGTTTATTTTCGTCTGATTCTGTCTGATGTCTCAGGTTGAGGGTAAGAGCGGCTGATACAAAATCTCGCTTGAACGACTCTACGGACGGTGAAAGGTAATATCTGTCTCTGCGGTATTCCCTTTTCTTTCTTCGAGCTAGGTCTAGTTTTCCTTTTCGATTTCACTGTTGAATTTCCGTTAAATCATTTTCTCGATTGACTTAGCCAGAATCATGTCAGTTCAATCGACGGTGTTTGTTTTCCTCTGACGAGTTTGCTTGTTTTGCTTGTATTGAAGGTGAAGAAAAATGGATTCCAGGACTGTCCCAGTACCGACCTCTCTGGTCCATGGCAGCGCAGCAGGGATATACCCGTCCCGTGAAATTGGGGTCAGTGTTTTTTTTTTCTTTTAATTATATATAATTCTACATGGTTGATCTTTGGAAATAGTCCCCCTTTTGTTCTATTTATTTATTGATTTGCTTATTTATTTGTGCGGTGGTGTTTATAGATGCATGATTACCCTCACTATGAGAAGGGAACCACTACCTTGGGTTTTATTTTCAACAATGAAGGACTTATGGTAACCCTTGAACATGCAAGGTTACCATCAGGTTCATTTCCAGAAAACCTTTGCATACTCAATTCGCACCTGCTTGCCTCTATTTCTGGAGGAAACGGAAACATACGAACATTTTATCTCAGTTACCTGCAAACTAAGGTACTTTTCGTTTGGAAATGGTTTAGTTACAATCTAAGAGCGAGTAACTATTTTGAAATTCATGTGAACGTTATACATGTTTCAGTGCCGCGAGCATGAACACCTGAAGGGGGCAAGGGCTTCTGCTGCAGAAGCATCAAAGTGGCTTGCTGACTTTCTGTCTGATCGTCCTTACAGTGATGACCCTTTGTCACTGGGAACACTGATTGCTGGGTGGGATGATGAATCGGTAAATCTTTGATTGCTCTTCTCTATCTCTCTCTTTTCTTTTCAATTTTCCCCTCTGATTCTTATTGAACTTTGTTCATGGTTTGTCTTCTGTAGGGACCTGCCCTGTATAAAGTGAACGCTAAGGGGGAACGTTGTGAACGACCATTTATGGGCACTGGATCTTCTTCAGATGGGTGTGCTCTAATTTCTATGTATGCCTCTTTTTCCCTAAAGGATTACTTCCAAGTTTTTATGACTGAGATGGTTATTGCCTGTTTTGCTTTCAACTTTTAGGAATTGATACTTGCCTTCCTGGTGCATCAGACACTGAATTTTAGTTTGCTTTAATTTGTGTTGGGTTCTATCTTCTCATCAGCTTTTTGAAATTTTGGCCGTTTCCACTTGGGTAATAGTCATTAGAACCTGGTTATGTTTTCTTCTACAGACCCCGTGATAAAATATCCGTGACTGATGCTTCCAAGTTGGCCAAACGTGCACTCTGTCTTGGTGTTTGTCTTGTTCCTGAAAGTTGTGAATGTGTCAGTGGTAAGTTTGTGATCCCCTGGCCGCTTTCATTCTTATTTTGTGTGTTTTTTCATTGACGAGTATGTTCTTTTTCCGGTAATTCAGTTTTCCACATTGGAAGTGATGGGCTTGCAGCGGTGGTCTTTAATGATGACATAGGAGAATGGCTTGAGCAGTATTTCAGTGAAGTTGGAGAAAATCATAGGGAGATGTTCAGCAAAATTCGCTCGCAGTATGGCGGAAGAAGTTTTGTGTTTTAAAAACTGAGGAGTGATTCAGTGACTTCTTTATTATGGTGTTCTGTATGTTATTGTTTGTGATTTTTTGTCTCCCGAGTACATTGTCCATCAGCTGTTTATATTTTGGTTGTATTATCTTAGTGCTTTGGAAATATCAGAAGTGCAGTAAACGCCGTCCAAAAATTTCAGTTTAACTGAATTTTTGAAATATTGAAATGATGGAATTGACCCGAAGTTGAAGCGCTCGTGGCTAGAATATCAATTTTTTCTCTCGGGTTTTCTTTAACAACTTAAGCAGGGGATGAAATGCAAGCAGATCTTACTCTTTTTAGTACGACGCCCGTCCAACAAATGGTTAAAAATGAACCTCAGATAAGTGAATGTGTCCATAGTTCCTTGCATCCTCAACGGTCATTGAGCCGTCAACGAATGTGCTCTTCATTCAAAACATGAGGAAAGAAGTGTCAGTTTCTTGAAAGGAATGACGTGCTCATCATTTCAAATGTATTACGGGACATTATATTTTATTTTTCTGAGAGGCTACTGAACGCCCTAATTTTTTCATTTGAACGCCCTAAAAAATATCAAAAAGACTATTTTATCCCTACATTCATATTTTTTTTTAAAAAAAAGGGTGGGGGCGACGGAGCACTGCGCCAGCCTTTCACGGCTGGCGCAGGAGAAATGCGCCACCCTTTAAAGGGTGGCGCACAATTTTCTCGCCTCCCAATTAAGGGAGGCGAGAGGGAATATTACCCCCAAAATGGGGGTGGCGCAAAAATCTGGCGCCACCCCCTTCGGTTTGGTGAGCGTTTTGCTCGCCAAACCGAAATTACTTTTTTTTTTTTCTATTTTTTAATTAATTATTTTATTTATTTATTTATTTAAGTTTATTTTTTATTTATCTATTTGGCAGTTAAAAAATATTTAAAAATTAAATAAATAAATAAAATTATTTTATATTTTTTCCATGCTTTTAATTTTTCGTTTCAACGTATTTTAAATTTTATATTTTTTTCCAAAAAAAATATTCCCAGGACGGCTAGATGCACCGATGATGAATAATTAATTTGTTTGGTAGTAAATTCATAAGTTTTAGTTTTTATTAAATGATAATTTTTTGTGTACGTTTATACATAACTAAATGATAAATTTTTATAAAAATTTACTACATAATTAAGCAACATTCTCTAAATATTTAAGTTAAAATTATTTGTTTAACCACCAAACAAATAAATAAATTAAGAACATACATGAATTAAATAAATTAAATAAATACATGAATTAAATAAATTCATTAAACTAATAATTAAAATAAATAAAAGAAATTAATTAAATACATTAAAAATAATTAAATTAAAGATAATTAAATAAAAAAATTAAAATTAAAAAAAAAAGTAATTAAGGTGGGTGGCGCACAAAATGGCGCCACCCACCCTTTGCTCGCCAACCAGCACAAATGTGGCGCCCAGAAGGGCGCCACACCTTCACCATGCGGCGAAGGTTTTCTAAGGGGTGGCTCATTTCTCCCTTGCCATACATTTTTTTTTTCAAACCAACTCTATTTTGCAGGGGCGTGTATGTCTTTTTCGGGCGTTCAAATGAAAAAATTAGGGCGCTTAACAACACGACCCTTTTGGTTATGCTACTCATTACCATCAATGGCGTCTGCTACGTGACTGCAGATAGGAAACTCTCTTGAACATAACAAACATATCATTCCGATTCGGACACGAAATGAATGCAAAAGATTTTGAGGTTCTCAAACATTTTAACGAAGCCGGGAGGCTGTGACAAACGCTATAAGATAAGAGGTCACATCATGATTACAGAAAGAAATGGAGGATCGAACAGTTGCCATGGTACGGAAACTAGCTGAACTGGTTGATGGTGAATGAGAATTAATTGGAAAAACTAATAAGGAGAAAATGTAACTAATGACCATGGATATAACGACTAAAGAATTAAGGGGTGCCAATGATCTGGTGGGTGAGGTTTTTTTTTTTTCTTTTGTTTTTTATTTGCCGTTGTGGTTGTGGAGGCAATGACATGTGTAACAGTTGCGGTTATGTGCTCAAAGATTTTCTGGTTTCTGGAGTACCAAACATTGTAGCAAGCCACAAAAGGCTTGTAGCGCGCAGATTGAACCAGTTCTGATTACCATTCTTGCATAATTGGGTGTGTTTTAAACATAGTTTGGCAAAAATGAAAATTATGCAAATAAGTTGCATCCTTGTTTGTAAAGAATAATGAAATTATATGGAAGGGTAAGAAATGGGAAAACCTTTGAAGGCTGTTTGAAGTCCTCCATTTGAAGAGCAACAATATTTATCGAGCAGAAGGGGGAAAAAAAAGAAAAAAAAAAAGGTAAGCTTATAACCTTTGAGCACATAAGATTGGCACAAAATACCACTACTTCAACACATCAAAGTATGGCCAAATAGAGATGCCAAGAAAGTACCCACAAAGCAAAATGACCATCTTAAGATCCTTCAGAATGTGGTGAATCAATGATCTATCAATCAATACGCTATCTAATCCATGATCATGCAACAAAGAACGAACATATAACTACATTCATATGCAAACCTTAAGATCTTTCAAGATTTGGTGCCATCTCCCTATAAGTAATTTGACATAGAACATGGGTAGCGAAAATACAGATGCCATAAAAAGGGTCCACAAACAAGAAGGCATTGTGTTCAGATCTTTCAGAATGCGTTGACCACCATCTCCCAATATGCCAGTTAATCCCTGGCCTGCCTCCCTAGTCCTTGCTCTTTCAGGTACTCTGGAATGCTGTGGAACCAGTGCGAACAACGTCGTCCTTGCGCACTTACCCAGTGTACTAAATACAACAGCAACAACTTGGGGTTAATCACCAAAGTGGATTTCCTTTTTTTGTTTGTGGTGGGGGTTGGAGGAGAAGGAAACAAGCTCAAAACATGGAGTAATAATTCACAACATACCATTTACAGTGCCGCCTGTCCCAGGGTCACTCTGAGCTGTCCTACAAACAATACGTTTTGCCTTCTCGCATGCATCAGCAACAGACCTCTTAAAATTTAAGCTAAAAAAGAACATATTATGGTTAATATCGAAACAAAATACCGTCCAACAACAAAAAATGGATTCCAACTAATTTACCAATTACCATATAGGTTAAGTAACCAAATACATTAAAAAAAAAAAAAAAAAAGCTATTCAGAAAAGAGTACTCAGAAAACACACAAACTCCATACCCCATCTCCTCATACAAAAGTTTTATTGCAGAAGAAGAACCCGAACCCATAGTCGCAAAATAAGGACATTCGACTGCAATGCCATCTTTGTCAATCTCGTATATAACAGGAACCTGCACACAACTAGGTTTTAGAGGAAATAAAAAAAAAAATATGGGAGATAATATAACAAATGTTTTAGACCAAACTAAAATTGGGTAATCCCTACCTTTCTGATTGTGTGATATCCTACAACAACAGATCGAACTGACGGATCTTTCTTAATATGCCCAAAATTTTCAATCAGAGTCTTCCTATAATTTTCAGTGACTGTCTTTTGATTCTCACTCAAGTATTCGGAGAGCATCTTCCACAGAATAATCAGTGGAATTTCCACTACGTTCAACAATTTGGCTAAACTGAAACCATAAATTAAACAAACATCATGAGTAAAAATAAACGACAATATGAATTTTACCAAAAAAGCCTCAGAGAAAAAGTACCTCTGCAATGAGATTAAAACTCAGAAGATTTCCCACAGAAAGATTTCCACAACACGCAAACATTACATTCTTCCCAAGAAATGTAATTTTTCCATAGTCATTTTGCACTGGATCAATGAAGTATTTAGTATGAATGAAAAGAAAGTATAACAATTATTTGCAAAAAAAAAAATTAAAAAATAAAAATAAAATAAAGTCACCTGGAGTACCAGACGCATCAACTATTCTACCATCAACAGCAAGCACACACCGTTGATTCGCATCTGTGCAGTGAAGTGCATCTTGACATTCCCAAAATTTGAAAGCCAAAACAGTGGTGGAACTTCTAATCTCACCAGTCCAGAGTCAAGAAAACCAGAAAAGATATGTCAAATCCAAGGACTGAAAGAAAAATCCAACAGTTCGATACTCCATGGACAACAACAAAACAGAGAAAACCAAATAAACGAAAGAAAATAAGTGAAAGAGAAAACCAAATAAACGAAAGAAAATCAGTGAAAGATGAGTTCAGAAAGAATAATTCCACGATAATGAAAATAGAAACTTACTTGATCAGTCCAGCTTGTTGTTCTATCGTCACTTTATCTTCATTTCCAACAGTCATACTTTCACCTTCTCCTACATACTTCCGAAGCTCCATATGTAGCTCCATGTTTTGATTCTTAAGCTGCTCTTCCTTTTCACCAACACCAGAGCTACATTAAAATGAAATTAAGGTTAAAGCAGAAAACAGGGTAAGAGAGGAGCGGTAAGGAGCCAAAGGCAGAAAAGCAAAATTCTCATACGAAAATCAATAAAATTATAAAAAAAATAAAATAAAAATCACCGAAACTTAAAGTAACGATCAACAGTAATTAGATACCTCCATTGATCTTGTTCTTCGGTGGCTTTTGGTTCTATGCGCTTCCATGCTTCCTCTTCAACTTCAAATTTCACCACCATCTCTTTATTGTGAAGAAGACTGAATCAACAAAGATGGTGAAAAGTGAAGTATAGGTGGGTGTGTGTGTGTGCGCGCGCGTGGAGATTATAGTTTCAGCTCTCAATTTGGCGATCACTAATTTAAATTTTTGGCGGAAAGTGTTTTTTTTTTTTTTTTTGAAAATAATGGGAAAAAAAATTGTGAATGACGGACTAGATCGCCCAAGGATGATCCAGAACAGAATTTTGGGCCGGGTCCGGCCCAAACCAACCCCTACGCAAAACCCACCCCAGGTAAAGCACCCTTCGGAGATCGATGACATTAGGGCGAAAAGAGTTTTAGAAAAATAAAGATCTGGGAAGGGCAGATGCTTCCCCCTTCGACAGGCGGCCGAGACCGACATCGTCACCGCCGGCAAAAAAAAAAAAACACAATCAGTTGAAAAACATCAATCGAAACTCTTGGAAATGGAAAAAGTCATAAAAAAGGGTCGAGGGGTGGGAAAATTTCCAGATATGATCCACACAAAAAGAAAAGAAATTCAATGGTCTGCAGTTGAAAACTTTAATGGCGCCACTAGATTGAATGAGAATGAAAAAGGTGGGTTAATGGGTTGTAACGAGTGACTATTTTGCCGAAGTGTAGAGACTAGAGACGGAGGATCTGTCTATTTGTTAGACTTTGTGAAGGTTAATGGGCCAAAAAAACTTACTCGTAGGCCGAAGAAGTTTGGGCCACTTTGCTCAGGTCTTTTCTATTTCAAGTGACTATTTGAGACGAGTGACTATTTAGAAACATGAGATACTCAAATAACTTTTAAAATTTAATGTGGATTTTTTTTAGGACAGAAGGAAAACAATGTATATATTACATTCCACGATGATAGTCTTGTTAAAAAAAATAAAAAATCAAAAGGTTGATTAAACGCTACTGTTAATTGTGAACTAGGCTTGCTTCGTCGTGCGACCGGTGCTAATTAAAATCATATTATTATTGTTCTTTTTTAAATAAATCGATTACAGTCAACATTTAGTTAAATATTTTATTTGGATGATTCTTAGACCATTGAATTGCAGACCAATGAATTTTCAACTTAGACAAGAAGTTTTCAACTCAAAAAAAAACAACAAAGACATATTAATTTGTCTTAGTTTTGACCGAATACGTATTTTTAATTATCCAAAAAATCTTTAACATATTTCATAACAATCAAAAGAATAACGAATGTAAAAATATATTTTTAAAATTTTTTCGACAATTAAAAATGCATATTAGGTGAAACCTATGACAAAATCAAAATGTCTTATATTAAGGACCGGAGGGATTATATACTACTGATGAGACTCTAACATCAATTTTCCTTTCTATTCATTGGTAAATACAAGTGAATTCTTGACCGGAAACATAACTGAAGAAGAAAGCAAAAGAAAAGTTGCTACTTCTTTATCGCCATGTAGACGCAACAGCCATCAGTTCAAATTCAAATTACAGAATCATAAATTATGCAACAAAGGCAATTGAATGTATAGGCAATTAAATTGTGAGACAACCCCAAGCAGGCCAAACCATTTTCATCCTCATCCAACAATTGTTGGCATTTGTTAGAATCGCAGAAGCCAAAAGGTTGCCAGTACTTGCATGGAAATTCAAACGTTGTAGGATCAAACTAATAAACTACTAAAGGCAGCAGCAAGACTAGAGTGCAAATGGCTACAGAAAGGACGGGAGGGGGTGTGGGGGTGTTACAAAATGAAGAACATATCCTTCTTTTTGATCAGCAATAAAATTCCATTTACAAAATTGTATAAGTATCATGATTCTTTTTCGCGTTCTAATTAAGTAGGTAGGAGACTGAGTAAAAAAAAAAAGTGCCTGTATGTATGTATGATGGTTCAGCAACATGAACTTTCTAAGGATTCGGATTCTGATGAACGCATCCTTTTTAATTCCTCTTCTCGATATCTTTTCTCTTCCATCACGTAACTCTCCATTTGCGCTTCTTGCCAAGACATTGGTTCAAGACTAAAAGTCAATCCGTTGAACTTAAAGTGATACTTATTAGTAAACCCGTCATGGTAAGTATGCCTATCATATTGCCACGGTCTACCAAGCAAAATATCGGCGAATTGCATTGGAGTGACAATGCATATCACTTCGTCCACGTAACTTCCAAATGAAAACTTTACTTTCGCTTTTTTATCCATCTTAACTTCTTCGTTAAACCATCGCATTTGGATCGGCCTAAGAAGATTCTTTGTCGGCAATCCCAATTTCTCTACGAAATCCGCGCTTATCGTGTTAATATAACTACCACCATCAATTGTCAAGGTGGCTACCACGTCTTTGACGAAACAACGAGTTAAAAACAGATTGTTACGTTGATTCTCAACATCTTCCTTCTCCATCTTATCATTATTATCATCATCATCATCCGCCGTCGGAGGATTAGTAGTAGTGTCACTACTAATCATCATCAATGCAGTAGGATAATCATTGTTGAACCTCAGCTCCCTCTCTGAATTTTCTCCTCTTAATGCTTGTAATTTCTGTTGAGGAGACATAGGTAAGAGAGTGAAAGGCACTCCGTTGAAGGTAAAATGATATCTGTTGGTAAATCCATCATGAATAACACGTCTATCATACTGCCATGGCCGTCCAAGCCCAATAGTTGCATTGATGTCCGTTGGCACCACAAAACAAATCACATCATCCACATAGTCGCCAATCGAAAAGGTTACATGTACTTGCCTATCCACCGTGATATTGTAGGAGTCATTAATCCATCCTACTACCTGTGGCTCGACAAGTTTAGTCGGCAGCATCAATTTAGCTACAAGGTCTTCGGTTATAGTGTTAGTATTGCAACCGCCATCGATCATCAACAGGGCTTTTTCCTTGTGCACTAAACAACCGGCAAAGAAGACATTGTTGCGTTGATCCCTCGGATCTTCCCACTCCTCCACCTCCTTTTTATCATCAACCATAGTGCGGCGCGTACTATATAGTAATCTTACACATACGGAAACAAGTGAAACCACAGGCCTTTAGGTCGGGTCACCGCGGTGTTATATAGAAGAGAGAGTAGGTTCATAAATAAACTACTAATTTACAAGTTACTTTTGGAAAGAGGCAAACTAAGAAGACCCTAACTTGCATATGAATCGGATTTAAGATTAAAGAATTAGTAATTTGATAGGAATAACGATATTCAACTCTACTCATAACTCTACCCACATATAGTAATTTAGTTGGCATATCCACACCATCGCCTCATAAATTTATCATATTCGTGTTTTAAGTCAAAAATAAAATCTACGCCTAACTTTAATAGGAGTAGATTAAAGTATATAAACTATAAAGTGGATGATTGTGGGGATTCACGGAGATATAAACCCTGCAACGTGTTACTTCGTTGTTTCACCTCATTTTGATAATCTAGTTATTGAGGTGATGGAGAACCTGTCATACCTTGCAACCGCAAGCAATCTAGCAAGTGTTTCACCTGTCAAAATCAGGCATTTTTTTCACCATCTAATTCAGCCAATATTGTAAAAAAATTTAATGGGCACTGCATTTCTCCTTGCTCTCCTTCGAGGGCCTCTAATCTGATGCCTTTTTCACCACTTCTATAGCATCTATCCGATTAGCACCCGCCGTATTTAGCAATGGGCGAAACAAGCATAATAATCATTCCAAAATGTTTAGTAACTAGAGAAGTATCTTTGAAGAAAACTTACAGCACAAAGTATCTCTGCTGAAATATAAGTATAACCAAAGGAAAAGATTTTTTCTACAAGAAAAATGATCACAACCTAAATATCACAGAAAATCAATTACAGAACGTGTTCAAAACCAGCAATCATCAAAACCAGTCGGACTCCCTTCTGGGTTCTCTTGATGCAGCCTAAGGATCTTGGAGATCAGACGTTGCTTGGCACGATCATTAGGAAGAACTTCAGGGATTGCAGGCCCAGCAGCGGGAGGCAGAGGGACAGATGGCCCAACACTACAAACAGAGGAAAGAAAAACCAAAAAAAAACCACTGATGAAACACTTTACAACACAACTAACAAAGCACTGAAACAGCGAAAGTCGGCAGGCTGGCTGCATGTTAACAATCCAAGAGAAGAATTCAGCAGCATGGGAAAAAGACAGTAACACGAAAAGAAAGTTAATGCCATTCAAAATCTCAGATTCATACAACTTGCCCATCACATTTAGGCTATATTAGACATAGTATTTGAGAAAATATATAACGATAAAAAGACAGAGTATCTAGACAAGGAGATGGATGGATGAAGGAAGAAGATGTATTTCCACTGGGGGAGACCAGATTCGCATAGGGCAAAGGAGCAACACATAATCCCATTCCATATTCAAAAATAATGCAACTCTTTCAAGGGACGAGTAAAGAAAACATTTCAACGAGTTTTGAATCTAGAACTGGAAAAGCTACAAAGAGTTTTGTACTGACACAAATAAACAATGAAAATTTATTTCAGAAAAAGAACTCCACAGAAACGTACTTGATCATTGTTGGGGATTTATCTGGAGGAGAAAATCCGACATGGAGCCGAATAAGTAAGATAAGACCCATCTGAACTCAAAAGCTCAAGCTAATGAGTTCTGAGACCACCTTACTTATTAACTGATTCACATGTCCTCATGCCTCCGATGTGGGATTCATAATCCTTGCCACATGACCCTCAATAATCACTTGTTCTTCTGTATTGACTTCAACTTGCTTTCACAATTCACAGTCTCTCCACGAAGAAAGCTGAGATAATCAACACAGAAAATCAATCGACCAAGGAAACCAAGGTGAGAGAAATGATCCCAAAAGTAGAGAAAGCTGAATCCACGAGAAATTAATTTTTTTAAGATAGATGAAAAGAAATAAAGAAAAGATATATAAAATAAACGTAAAAGACTTACTTCTTGGATGAGTCCTCCATTATAGGATTAGAGAGAGAAATTGTTCACAAAATTTCTGTTGGAGAAGACTGTGAAGTGTGAAGTT